CTCATTTTTTGAAATTGTTCAACGAACGTAAAATTCACCAAGGTAATGTACTCCTTCGAAAAAACACCTTTACAATTGCAAAATTAGAAGATTTTCCAGGATCACGCTTTATGTAGTTTCATTTAGACCTGATGTAATGTTTCGAAAAGAAAAACAGCAAAAAAGTTGAAATATAGATGAATAGAACAAAAAATACAACTGCAGTCCACATGTGGACTGCATGGTCGTCAATGGGTTAAAAAGCAGTTCGATTACTGATGCATTGACCAAAAGATGAGTCAAGATGCACATTAAAATAATTAGTCTTTTCCATTCTGACCCACCAGAAATATGTAAGACTCAAAAACCGTATAGACACCCAACTACAAGGGACGTTCTGGTTCAGCTTGCAAGATAAGAGGATGATCAAGTCACCGGTCTTGTCGTATCAAAATTTCTGCAATCAATTGATCAGCAATGAGGATATTACCTGGCTTTGGCTGATTCGGGGTTGAGTTCAAGAATTGCCTGAAAGAACTTCTACAAATGAAAGTGTTTTTATAAATTTTTTTATATTTTGAAAAATGCTACATACAGGCGCTTGCATCATTATTTGGCCGACAAGTGCTCGTATTCAATTGCGATGAGGGAATTGATGTTCATTCGATGAGGTCCGCTTTTATTTTTTCATTCAATCTTTTAATTTCTATTTTTTAATTTATTGACTTTCATACTTGATCGTTCTCCAATGACTTCTTCCTGTTCGCTGAATTAGCCAAAAAAGCTCTATTATATCCATTTTGAAGGCGCAATAAAGTCGTAGGCATTCATTAATCCAACTGTCATGGAGTATTTAGTGCTCCGGAGAAATAGATAATCTGACTGCGCATCTCTTTCTGCGGATTCCTGGAGTAAAAACCACCCCTATCACCTGTTGTCCCATTGATCAGCGATTTGGAGTCAAAGTATAAACGGCATGAAGTGTTGCGCCAAGGTTCCTAGTAGTCGAATTCAGTGCAGGATGGCAGTCTCCCGGTCACTGGCACAGTGAAACGTGAGGTCGTGCCAAATTGTCTTGTTGTGGATTCGCTGAATATCGTACCCTCTTCACTTCCCCACCATAAGATCCCCTACATTCATATTCTTAACTATTGGGCGAAGAAGAAGCGTAGTCAAAAATAATCAAATCCTCGTGTAATACTGTGACCTCCATATATACTTTTATATATAAACCTTCTTTACCCAAGTAGTTGAGTACCGCTTCTCGAATCGTATATTCCGCGAATAGGTTGACTTTGGCGCTTGTTTGTTCTTTTTTGCTGATATTGTGGTAATTACTTTCAAGTAAATAAAAAATCGTAGTTGAATAAATTCTGGCAACGGAGTTCATAGAACCACTCGAATGCTCCAAAAGATCGCACATTTGCTTGGTTTCTCATGCTTCCCAGGATGGACTCTCTTTTTCGCCCTTAAAAAAGCTTTTGGGAACTCTCAAGTTGTTTCCTGTACAATCCTCCACAACCCTGTTCAGTAGTGATTCTCTTTCAGCCGTATATTCGTCGGAATTGTACAGTGTGGAGCTTGGGGCTGTTTTGACGAGTTCAACCGGCTCGACCAGGTGAATTATTCTCGGAATGTTTTATTTTTTATAATTTAATCGTTATCGATTAAGTCGGTTACAGACTGTCTTGTCAGCTGTATCAATGCAGATTCAGACAATACAGGATGTGATCAAATCGAAAAGTGGTACTTGTGTTTTGGGAGGGAAAACGGTAATTTTCTACGATTTGCTCAAAAGTTACTTCTGTCAATTTTGCAGTTGTCGATGTTTTTCACTTGGCACTTCCCTTATGAAGGATGAGAGCCGGTTTCAGGCCTCCGTGGATCCGAACGCAGCCATCTTCATTACTTTGAATCCAGCCGGCAAAGGTTATGGTGGACGTCAGAAAATGCCAGATAATCTAAAGCAACTATTCCGTCCGGTGGTTATGTCTGTACCGGACAATGACGTCATTGCTGAAACGATACTGTATTCTGAAGGTTTTACGGATGCGAAGAACCTGGCTCGAAAAATTGTTACCATATTCAAGTTGAGCAAGTGAGTGAGCGTTCCCAAAAATCAGACATGTATAAAGGAAGTAAGGAACAGAATCTCTGTACCTTTACTCTTCCCATTGATGTTATTGTATGTTTCCATTGTGGAAGCCGCTGTCTCTTCGCAGTGTTCCCGATGTAAATGTTTACTTCTACTTACCGTATAGCATATCGCGCTTTGTTTCATGGGTGCCTTAGCAAGCTTTTCCGCAGTCTCCAGTTGGGTTTGTTTGGGTTTGAGTTTCTGAGAGGAAGAGCCCAGCATACCTTGTAAATGGAAGTGTCTACATATATGAGTCTACTCTAAATATTGGTTAGAAGGCAGTTTGATTGAGCCCACGGTTGCAATCGCTGAGGATATGGGTCAGGAGGCACCGTAGGGTCGTCGTGCCAGTAAGATGTTAACGCTCGTGCGGCAACATCAAGTCGTTGTGTCAGCAACATGTATCTTTTGAAGATAGTTGGTGAAGAGCTCGCAACGATCACCTAAGGTGGCCCTGAGCGCGTGATCTTGTTTCGGACCATCGCTATGGTACCTCCTGCTCCGCACACACGTCTCTTGAAAGGGCCACTCGTCTAACGAGATTCATAATATCAGAGGAATACCATCCTCTGATGTTAAGAAATTACCTTCAAACCGTTTTTGATAAGCTAATTTTTTTTTGCTATTTCAGAGAGATGCTCTCCGCTCAACAGCATTACGATTGGGGACTACGAGCTCTCAAGGTAGGCACTTTCTGCATTACAGTAAACAACTTGTCCCATATGCCAAAAGCGATTTTAGACTTCAGAAGTATCAGAAATACTGTAAAATGTCCGAAACATTTCGAAGTTATCTCTAGCCATCAATACTTTTCACCATCTTTCCAAAGTGTACTCCTTTTTTGAAAGTAAGCTACGCGATGACATGATTTGCGATTAGTGAGTTTGGTATGTATTCTTTCTGGTTGTCGGTCAATTTATCAATCGTCGTGTGTACTCTATTCCTTAGAAAGTGAAAGTTATTTGAAAATTTCGGCCAATACAGAAATGCCGTTTTCATTCAGGTAGTTCTACGTGGATGTGGTGACATTCGAGCGGCGAAGCCGGAAGCTAATGAGACCGAGACGGTTGTCCAGGTAAGAGCTCAGAGGAGTGTGATTGCGGGCATAGTTCTTTGCATCGATTAAAAATTAATATTTGATATTCTAAACATTTCCATCGATTTTTACAATTATCCCAGATTTCCATGGTNGAAATGACGTTTTCATTCAGGTAGTTCTACGTGGATGTGGTGACATTCGAGCGGCGAAGCCGGAAGCTAATGAGACCGAGACGGTTGTCCAGGTAAGAGCTCAGCATCGATGAAAAATTAATATTTGATATTCTAAACATTTCCATCGATTTTTACAATTATCCCAGATTTCCATGGTATTTAGGCGCTTCTTCTCAACACGCTCTCCAAGCTCACCTTTGCTGATTCGAAACGTTTCAGTGTCTTAATTGATGACGTATTCTCAACAGTTAACAAAGAGATGACTACGGTAAGGAAATCTCTTCAGAAGCAGCATCTGACCTCACCATGCAGTGTAACCCATGACCCATCGGTCAACGTGCCCTGTGTTGTGGCCCTAAACGACGTGATAGCTGTCAGAACATACTGATTTAGGTATAAACCGTCACATACAGTGTTTGAGCTTTTACTTGTAGCACTGAAAGCACTCGAGGCTGCAATGTTAGAAATCCCTAAACGTTGCAATGGGTCGCCTATTCTCTGTTCTGGGCTATACCTCGGCGGAGACTACTGGGAGTACAGGACTTTGTGTTGAGTGGCGAGCTACTAACCAAGGTGGTGAACCTAGTTATGCCGCCTAGTGGGACAACTATCAATGATTGCTGGAATCCTTGGGCAATTTCGGATACCCACCATTCAGCTTTCACCTATAAAATAGGAGGTCTTTCAGTTTGGTGACCTGGTGGAACCACTCAAACAAGCGTCTGAAGAGATGAATATTGAACTGACGTCGAAGCAGGTACGATTCCTGATTACCGAACCTACGCTGGCTCATTATTCCTTTTCGTTCTGGAGTATCTTTCGATTTTAGACCTCATCGGAATAGTTTTTTTCGGTTTACGAAGTTACATATTTTGGTCTTTAGCTCCAAAAAGTCTTCCAACTACATGAACAGCTTCGTCAACGGATTGGTGTCGTTGTGGTAGGCCCAACTGGTGCAGGAAAATCAACTATTTGGCGGGTTCTACGACGAGCACAGCTACTGGCTGGAGTAGCGCTGCATACTGTATCCTTCAATCCGAAAGCCATGAATAGGACAAAGGTGAATCCACTCTGAGTGATGGAGTGAATCAGTCGATAACATATCGTTGAATAGTTCTGAATTTTTCTGTCATAGCTCTGAACGTTTCAGCTACTCGGTCATATGGATATTGATACTCGTGAATGGTCGGACGGGATTCTCACTATGGCAGCTAGAGAGGTCAACTTCTTCACTAATTTCTTATACAGTAACCAGTTTAATTGACGCTTACTGTAGCGCATACTGTATATCACACGATGTTCTGAGTAAAGCATACGGTTCAAGGATCTTAGTACCTAAGGTAGCTCCCTTTTTTCTGCTCGTTACGCGAAAGTAGCTTCCTTTGTTTTTCCTCTTATCAATCTCATCACTTTGGCTTTACCAGTACTTATCACTCAATATGATCTTCTATCACTCACATCTTTGTCACCAAGCTTTTACTAACTCTCTTAGCACTAGAACACAGGAATTCGACCACTGAAAAGGCATTTCAAACCATTTTTAGGTGATCAAAGATACAAGCGTTCATCAATGGATCATATTCGACGGTGATATCGATCCAGAATGGGTAGAAGCACTGAATTCGGTGTTGGACGATAATCGACTGGTAAACCTATTGTAACGCATATCACCAAGCGAGAAAATATCTGTGACGAAAACGCGTTCATAATACTTTCCTTGTGGAATAGGGAGAGTTTCCATTGAAATATCGTAAAAGGACCTGATTACCTTCATGGGGATAAAATAACTGGAGATTCCATGATATTCCACTCGGTTGACCAGAACTAGGCTCATCTTCATCCTCCTCAAGAACTTTCAGATTCTATTTTCAGCTAACAATGCCCTCTGGTGAGCGAATCCAATTTGGCAGCAACGTGAACTTCCTATTCGAAACCGACTCGCTTCAATTCGCTTCACCAGCTACCGTATCCAGAATGGGAATGATTTTTATAAGGTCATTTTTTTCGTACATTATAAATACTGGGTTTTACCCCAACCATCAGATCTCGGGTTTATGGTCGGCTCCATTTCCTGAACGACGTTGCTATCTACCCCAAGAGAATACCTTGATTAGTGTAGTAGGTAGGGTCTTCTGAGTTAGGTGTTTTAGTGGTCAACTTACTGTTTAAACAGCCTTCGAGTGCCGGTTGGCTTTCCTCCAGTAGAACGCAGACAAAATAACAAAAGTGTTTAGCGAAGAGGATGTATCAGCAAAGGAGGTAGTATCGCAATGGATCAAAAGTCTATCCGAGTCCGAACATCCAGATCTTCCCGATTGGATCGATCAGCATTTCTACAGGTCAGATCTCTTTGCCACAGAATTTAAGAAAAAAAAATTGGTTAGCCTACAAATTTTGCTGAAAACCTGTAGACCCAAGTCATCGTATCACCAGACCGTGGCTGCTAGGCTTTTGAGCAGCTATATCATTTCAGGAATAAGAAAACGTAAGCGACTAGTGATCAGAAGTCTGTTTAAAGCTTTTCTGATTGGTCGCACTTCAGAAAGATCCTGCCACTCACAAACAGTACCATGCGGAATCCGCTTAGTCATTGAGTTTTCGGTGTTCTTCATTCTGAAACATTCCCACGTGAATTCAAAAACACCACCTGAAACCAAGTAGTATCAAGAGCTTGGATCGCAGTTCACACCTGTCTGGCTCAAGAAGTTCTTAATGTGAGTGTCCAGCGGGCAGTGACTGAAAGGCTGTTGTGCATCAGAGGAAGGCGCGAGAGGTCCAGTAGGATAAGGAAGGGCACGATACCCTGGAAGCAGCTTGAGTACCATCTCAGATCCAAGTTTTGCTCATGAGTCAGAAACATTGTTGTGATTCCTGTAATTGTTTCACTCCTTTCAGATGCTACGATTGGTGCGTATCGGCTGGATTGGTTAATGGTATCGGCAAAGTGGCAGCCATTCATAATGGCCTTAGTCATTTGAGGTTAGTTATCGTTACAGAGACAAAAGGTCCAAAGCTTCCTATATACGTCCATGTATTAAGTACACTTTATCTTTTTATTTTTGTTGTTCTAGTAAATCGCCCTTTTCTACTTTTCCGGAACAGTTATACTGTCTTTCGATCAGATCATAATTGATCAGAAATAAAAAATTTCAATAGTTTCAGACAAAGTAACGTTCATGAGAAAAATAAAGAGCGCAAGCAAAATTGTGGCAAAAACTATTTTTAGGGTCAAAAAAACCCTGATGGCAAAAAATCTAATTCTAGGGGAAGCAAATCGAAGCTACAGTTCCTCGTTGCTCTATATCGTGGACTCTCGTCAGTGATAGATTCAGAAAAGAAAAAGGATTTCGCCGTTAACGTCGTTTTTGAGAGTAAGCTTTTCCTTGTGAGATTCTTGTTAATGAGGCGAGAGGGGGTGCACTGTCACACACGCATGGTCACAGGTTCAAATCCCGGATCGATATTCCCAACCAAGCCATCCATCCCACTGGGGTTGGTCAGTTGGTAGCAGACTCGTCTAGGAGGATAAAAAGCACTGACTTGTACATCTGCTGGTCAACGCAAGTCATTGTATAGGCCACATACGCATACAGTACGATTCACTCCCTTTTTCGTCTATGGCGACCGGTGTGGAATTGAACAACTGAACACGATGCGCCCCTTCTCTCCTCGAATTTTTTCGAATGTCGGCTTCATCTTCAATGTTTTCTAAGGTGTTCCGATTCCTGATGGAGAAAATCCGGATTTGGTCTACTTTGACAGTAGGACGGATTCGTTAATGAGGTAACCATTTTTGTTGATGTAATCTGTTGATAACCGCTTTCATGGAGCTCTTCTCAACTCCGAGGTGTCTTTGGATCTTTTGTACATAAACCAGTTCGAAAAAGGTCTTCGACAAAATCCTTTCCCTATAAGGTTTCGATAGCTCATACAGTGCTAGAAACATAAATAAACAATCAACAAAATATTCTATCAGTAATTGAATTTCTTTTGTTTATGACGATTTCATATGAATCGAAGGTTTTTTTACACTGAAGATATCAAGACGATCTTGGTATGGGTGTCAAGTTAGACGAACTGAAGGCGGACACGAAACCTTTCATTCTGACAGCTCCAGCTCAGTCAAACAAAGATACCGTAAGTCCTTCCCTTGACCCTGTACTTCTAATTCCCAGAAGAGCAGTTATAAGCTGAAGGATGGTATAGGTTCTGTCATGGCTCAAAGGCTCCAATCGACAGCCATTCGTCGTTGTTGGACCAGATGGATGTGGAAAGGAGGAGTTGTTGAAACACTGCTTCGGTGAGGATAATGATAGCCAACTAGCCATTGTGCACTCCAGTGCACAAAGCGGGTAAGCACATTTATTTTTTAATTAATTAATTTATTTATTTATTCATTTACTGATTTGTCTGTTTGTCTATTACCCATCCGATCATCTACTGTTTGTTTGATTGTTTGTTCATTCTTTCAATTATTTATTTACTTGTTCCATGCGCGAACGCCCAAAAAGGACAGCCAGTGAATAACTGAATCAGCACAAATAAAGCTAGTAAACAACAACACTCAGTAGAGTGAAGAGCCATTAAGGGTTTCAAAAATTACAAAGTGTATGAAATATAAAATGGTGGGGAAGGTGTAGTGGAAGTGACGCACTATCATAAATTGGCCCGGGAATTGAATTCCGGATGGTTATTCGCCCAGGTGAGCGGAGCCTTAAACTCCTCCGAAGTCGATTAACTAGTACCAGACTTCTCTGGTATATAGGAGCTCTGACTTGATCCCTGGGAACGTAACACACCACTGGCACACAATAAATCAAGGCGGTGACAGTTTGGTGTGTCGTTAGAATGGTTATGAAAGAAGCTTACCAACATTTCCCATTTTTGGTTCTTTTTATCTTTTGGATTTTTGCTTGAAAGTAATTCCTTATAAGATATTCATTGATAACTCGGCCTTGCCTGGAATTTCTCGAGGTGGAAGGTTTCAGGGCGTCCGCCATCTTACAGTGTCTTCAGCAACATTGCGTTCAGACAAGTAGTGCCACAGGCCGAGTGCTTCGACCAAAGGACAAGCCATTACTCATACTTTATCTGAAGAATATAAACTTGCCAGCACCGGATAAGGTGAGGCTTTGATCCATTTCACGATGCTATGGGCGACTATTTTTCAAAACGACAGTATCGGGGACTACTTTTCCCATTTTAGTATGGTACAAATGAAATGTTAGCATTTCTGCACCAACTGTTAACCTATCATGGCTACTACGACGATCATCTTGACTGGATAGGCTTGGAGAATGTGCAGGTTTGTTTTTTCTTTCTCAGCGGCCGTTTGTTGTTGTTGTTGATTGTTTTTTGGTATCATGTTGTTGATTGTTGTTGCCTTCCTTAATTTTGTTTTCAAGTTTTCGTGTTTTTTGTTTGTCTTTCTTATGCTTAAAAGATATGGAAGTACCCCATGAGAGGGCCTTTTCCAAATAAATATCTAGAGGGAATGAGACCAAACGGGAAACAATATGCGTCGGCAGCTGTCCATTTGAATTCCAAGACACAGAAACAAATCCTTGAGTGGTATTGATCAGCACTCCTGCTAGATAACACATGTCCAATCTCTAGAGGACATTATTGATGAACTAGAATTGGGGTTAATGTCTGAATGTGTTCCAGGAGTCCCCTTGAGGTGCCCGTTTATAAATTAGGCCACCCAAGCACTTGTTTCTATCACTGAAGGGAAAAGAGTACAAAGCCTTCATCAACATAGCCCTACGCGTTGATCTTTTTTCGACGCTATACCTGAAGGGGCTTTTGCCAAGCACCCATTTTATCTCTAACGTTCAGAGAAGACCATTTTCTTAGTTTTTCGATGAATGCAAAAGGGAAGGTCCTGGCCGGGATCGAACCGGCGACCTTCTGCGTGTGAAGCAGACGTGATAACCGCTACACCACAGGACCACACATCAGCTAGCCTGGTCGCTCGCTTTCCAGCCAAACTTTTGTGTTGCGATGGCATTTGAGATTTAGTAAGCGCAGTTGTATTTCACAGCTGGAACTTTGTTTAATGAGCAAATCCGCAAAACGAAAGGTCCTGG